GTTTCCATGGCATGTTCCATTTTCTTTTCCATTTCACTCGCGTTAGAATGAGTGGTTTCCATCTTCAATTCCTGCCCATTCCCTCAACCTTCAGCCCTAAACCCTATGTTTCCCCTTTTGAAGGGAACTAAGGGCCTAGAGCAGTTTCCATTTTCCCTTCGGTTTCTCCGTTCCCTGCTAAAGAAAGGTAAGCCGCTCAAAGTCTGCAGTAAGCTGTCAGCAAAGGCAACTGCAACCTCAGGGCCCAGTAGGTTTTATGGGCTTAGGGCTTAGGGGTGGGGATATACATGGCTATATGAGGTGGTATAGGAATGTGTGGAACCTTGCTCTATCTAGAATCTAGAATAATGCCAAGTGGGGCTCAGGGTAGCTTAACTCAATTTCAGGGATTTTGGGGTTTAGGGAGTGGATTCTCCAAGACATGGCCCCTCGCACATATCACAAGGGTCTGTCAAGGGAATCTTTGAACCCCCCTTTAAGGAGTTTAAACAGTTTAGACCCTAAACCCTAAATTGTAGTTTCCATTTTCTTTTCCATTATCCCTATATAATCCCCGAAATAGACCCTACATAATCCCCTAAGTAACCCTACATAATCCTCTAAATAACCCTACATAATCACCTAAATAGCCCTACATAATCACCTAAATAACCCTACATAATCCCCTAAGTAACCCTACATAATCACCTAAAGAGCCCTACATAATCCCCTAAATAACCCTACATAATCCCCTAAATAACCCTACATAATCCCCTAAATAACCCTACATAATCCCCTAAATAACCCTACATAATCACCTAAAGAGCCCCCCTCCCATAGCGGCCTGGGGCCCAAGGTCCGCCAGGGCAAGAGCTGCGGCTCCACGAACTTTGCTGCTGGGATCCATTAAGCAGGCACCGATTCTTTGAGCAGCACCTAGGTTCCCCAGTAACCCCTTAATAATAAGGGTACCCTTTTTCCTACTATTCAATTTTAATAAGGAGACCCCGAAATAAAAAGGGCAAAAGGGTACTACTGGGGTACTTAGGCACCTGGGAAGCCAGCCACAATCCCCGCGGCTCTCTGCAGAACGCGCAGGGCAGCGCGCCTCACTTCCGGATGTGCATGCTGGAGCATTGAGTCTGCGGCCTGTGCGCCGCATGCTCCCAATCCTTCGAGGATGCAGACAGCGGCTTTGCGCTGAAGCTTGCTTTCTGCCTGTAGACATCGCAATGCAAAAGGAGCCGCGGCAGGGCCCAGCCTTGCCATCCCTTCAGAGGCGGCATCCACTATGTGTGGATCTAAGTTGGTCAAGAGAGGGGCCACGAGTTCAGCCACCTCTGCTTCCCTGCCACTTTGGGCAGCGAGACAACAAAGGGTCATGGCTGCCTGGCCACAGACATCTGCTGACTCGTCTTGCAAGCACGCAGCCTCAGACTTGCAAACATTCAAATTCTCATGGCTGTTGTCAAAATCATGGCACCTTTTTTGGGTACCCTAAATATTAGGTGCCGTATTCTAATAGGGATCCAAAAAGGGACCATAATGTTGACAACCACCCACATGACTTGTGGCCTGAAAATAAACACCTGAGCAGTGAGCACAGCTGCAGTCAAGTGGCTATGGCCTCAGAACAAGGACTTGCAGCCTCAGAGCCCGCTGCGCAGAGGGCACGCAGAAAATTCTTCCGGACGATCGCGCACTCGTCCGAAAGTAGAGCAGCAGCCTCCACGATGTTTCGCAAGGAGTGCCCTGGAAGCTCTGCCAAACCATGGGCAAGACTTCTGCGTGCTCCCACGGTCTTGAAGCTTGTGCATGCATCACGAAAGCCAAAGCCTTCCTTGACATCTCCATCAAGCAGCTGCGACGCAAACGCCTGTCTTCCAATCACACCACTTCGCCACAGCCATCTCTCCACAGCGGCGTGCAGCTTCTCACAAAGCAAATAGCGGCTGAGTGCCAACAAACGGACGGCGGTGACCGCGTCGTACCGAGAGCGACGCTTGCCAGCACGTGAGATCCTGATGTCAGCAAGCAACAACACAGGACTGCCAAGTGCAAGCAGCCTCCACCAACAGCAAACCTGAACAACACAAAACTCGCCGCTGCAGCAAAGCTACGAGTTCAGGGTAACGGGTCGCATGTCTTGATCCGAGAAGACACCTGCTACTCCCAGAGGGAGATGGGTTGTGCCCACCAGCCATAACAGAACCTCTGGTAACAAGGACCGCGCGCCGCGGCTGAGTCGTGCCGAGGCGGGTATCAACAGGCAAATGTCAGAGATAGACGTGACCGCACTGGTCAAGCCATCCTCCTCGTCATGGAACCCTGGGCACTCGCGGAAAAAGCCAGAAGCCTGTGCTAGGTCCTTGATTTGCAGGGCCGCGCCCTCGTCGTCGCACCGGCGCTGAAGTTGTAGGCATCCACGCCAGGTATTTCTGAGGACTTTCTTCGCCGGGCCCCTCTTGCCTGCAAGCTTCAAGCAGAATCACATGCCCCAAGAGCCTTTCATGTTTAGCAACCTGACCATCACCAGTAAAGTCTTGATCCTATTCGCAATCATTCGCAGCATATCTGTGCCCTTTTCAGTGGCATCGGGATCTCAGAAGGACTGGCATAGAGCCGGCGACTTTGAACCTCAGTGCACCTTGGATAGGACATGAGGCAAAACTGAGCCATTTTACAAAGCAATCAGGGTGCATACAAATCTTAAGGCAGAGTCCTAAACCCTAAGCCCTAAAAGCCATGTATGACAACCTGAGACCATTTGCCAGGTGTTCCAGACAAGTTTTCTTCCAAAAGGCCTTGTACTGGTTACTGTAATCCCCCTCCTATGATAAAATATCATGTCTGATATTTCCTTGGGGCCATACTATAACAAAAATGAAAGAATCCTGAATCCTAGGGAAACTACAGGTTATGGAAGAAGCTAGCTGTAGGGATCCAAGTGTGCCGGCTATGTTAAGAGAGGCTTCGAAACAGCGAAGGTGTAGGTGACAACAGGGTCAGATGCATTGATAAAGAACCCTCTGCAATCTGGGTTGCTGTGAAGGAACTTAAATTAAGTTACTATATTGGGGAAACCCTATTATTTACTATTGATACCCATTATGGTAACTTAACTTAAGTCCCTTAAATCCCTATATTACCCCCAGTTTCCATTTCATTTTCCATTTTCTTTTTCATTTGATTCTCCATTATAGGCCATTATGGTAACTTAAACCCTAAA